TATTTGAAGAAAAAGGGTTAGAATTTGTTGGTAAGAATGAAGGAAATGAAAGGATGGAAGTATTTGATTATAAAAATAATGATTTTTTTATAGGTGTTCAGTTCCATCCTGAGTTTAATGCTAGGCCAAATGCACCTCATTGCTTGTTTAATCAGTTGTTAAGTTATGGGTTGAAGAAGAAGAAGAATAATAATTAATAAGGAGATAAAGGATTAGAATAAAAGAAATTAAAAAATTATAAAAAAATATTTAAAAATAATTTTAAAATAATAAAATAAAAAGTTTAAATAATTTTTAATCATAAATCAACGATTAAAAAATAATATAAAAATAATATTAAAAAAATTCAAAATAATATTAAAAAATTAAAAATAATATAAAAATAATATGAAAATTATAAAATAATATAAAAATAATATAAAAATAATATTAAATTAAAAGTTTAAATAATATTTAATCATAAATTAGAATTAAAAAATAATTTAAAATTTTATCAAAAGAATTAAGTTAACTTTTTTTATCCATTAAATTAATAAAATTTTATTAACCAAAATATATCTTAAAAATAAACTCAATTTTTTATTATAAAAATTATTTAAACAATATTAAAATGGCAATGATTTAACTTGAAGAAATTTTTATTATCATTATTTAATCAAAGAAACATTTTTGTGATATTCTTTAATTTAAATAATTTCGCAGTGCGTTTAATTAGAAAATGTCAATCAAATTCTTATTATTTCTTCTCATAGAAAATTTAATAACATGAAAACATCTTCTTATTTTTTAAAAAATTGTGCAAAAGTAGTAAATATATTTCCAATTTATGAATTTTACCTTTAAAAAATATTACAGTGCATGAAAAATATATTTTTTCTTATTAAAATTGTTATAGATTTATAACATAAGGCACATAGTTCGAATCCCAAAGACTATCTTTTTTTATTTTAATATTTAAAGAAAATTAGATTTTACCCATGTCCTTCTACCCTCAGAATAAAACGTTAATAAATTTGTTAAACAATCTTTAATGTCTACTTATTTTAACCACCTATTTACAAGTGTTTATCCTCAAGGATATAATAAAAATATATAATTTATTTTATTTTACTGAAGATATTAATATTCTATCTAAAGCTTCTTTTTTATTTAATGCAGATGTATTTCTTATAAAATACATCTGCATAAAATAATTTTAAATTCATTTCGTATGTTTTAAAATATTTTAAATATATTCTAGTGACAGTAAAAAAATATTTTGATTCATAATTTTATTATATTTAAAGATTCTTTCCTCACTGTATATAAAAATGTAGAATGAGAATAAGAGTTCAATTCAAATTTTTTTATCCCTTTATTTCATTTATATTTGCAAAGAATATTATTTATTTATCTTAAAGACAAAAGAATATCAATAAAATTATTTAATTATAAATTTCTTTATTGCTTCAAAATCTTCTTTCAAAAAATTTATATTTTTAATATGATTTATTGCAGTTAACTATATCCATTCTAATTTTGTGTTAAGTACTTATTAGAATATTTAAGTTTATTTTTTTATAAAATTTATTTTACTTATTTTATAAATTTTTCAGAACAAAAAAATAATTTACCGGAAAATAAGTTTTAATTTAAAATAATATTTAATCATAAATTAAAATTATAAAATAATATTATAATATTATAAATTTTTGTATAAATGATAAAAAAATTTATTAAAATTTAAAAAAATTATTTTTCAAAATCTTCTTCGAAGAGAATCTTTTTTCCTATCATCTAACTTGCTACTCTCAGTCAAAAGACTTTTATTAACCTTAACACCAAACCTCTTCTCTCTCATCTCAATGATTTCTTCTTTGCTAAGTTTAGAATAATCAGATGATGAGATCAGAGTAAAAGAATCATTATTGCTTTTATCTGACTCTATGAGCATTGCAACAAGGTCTTTTTTTGGTTTATTGGTGAAAGAAAGTTTTCTTTTTAAGCAGAGGGATTGCAATGTTTTTATGTTCATTTCTTCATAATTCATGGTATAAATAAAAAATTATTATTTATTGAAATAATATTATTATTTATTATAATAAAAGATATTTTAAAATAATAATAAAAATACTTTAAAATAATAATAAAGATATTTTAAAATAATAATAAAAATATTTTTTAATTATATTTTTAATTTTTAAAAATCATTAAAATGAATTAAAAAATATAATTCTTTTACTTTATTAAGATAATTGACTTTTATTTTGATATTAAAGATCAAATAAAAAACATTTTTTGATTTTTTAATTCATCAACAAAAGCATCATTTAAAACGAATTAATTATTTGAAACACAAATAGAAATTAATTATCTGAAACAAATGTTTCCAGAAAAAAACTATTTATACCACAATTATTTTTGAATATGCTATTTTACTTACAATTACTTTTAGGATATTCATCATTAGACATACATCTTAAAGGAAAAATGGATGATTCTGTAAAAAATATTTCTGATTACACCGATATTAACATGTTATTAGCTGTGCAAGTGATTCTTCCTAAAGTAGATTCAAAAGATTTTGTGGATAGACCTACCAAAAAACCTTTGTACAAAGTTAAAGAAGAGTTTAGAAAAATTGAAAAGAAATTGGGATTAGCAAGTATGTATGATTTAGAGACTGACTCTCTGAAAAAATGTTACTTGTAAATTTGGATAAGATTGTTGGGGACTAACACTTTTCAGGAAGACAATTACGCTTATGATTTTTATCAGTGCGTGAGAAAAAATTCTGATAAAATAGAAATACTTAAAAAAATTTTTAGATGATAACTTTAGAAGTGGGAAGTGATATCCAAACTCATACACCTGAGGATTGGAAAAAACACCCTAATTTCTTGGATAATATCAGTGATTCTGAGATTAAAGAGACTGCCCTTGCTTTGAATCATAAATGGAAAGAATTATCAAGAAAGAGTGTAGAATTTAAGAATGGTGAAAGTACAACTTTATTAGATTTACCTCATCCTTTCATCATTCCTGGTGGTAGATTCAGAGAATATTATTATTGGGACACTTATTGGATTTTAGAAGGATTATTAGTTTGTGAGATGGATAAATCAAGCTGGAGAACATTATAAAAAACTTTATACATGTCATTGACAAGTATGGTTACATTCCTAATGGATTAGGAGGATATTATTTGTACAGATCTCATCCACCTTTGTTCCCTTCAATGTTGTTAAAGCTTTACGATTCAAAAGGGGAGGAAAGTTAATGACTTGATTTTGGGTAAAGGATTGGAAATGGCTTTGAAAGAATATGAATTTTTATGAAATATAGGAGCATTGAGATCCCTGATGAAGATGGAAACACCTATACTTTAAATTATTACCATGTAAAATCAGATTTCCCAAGACCAGAATCATTTGGTGAAGATGTAATTACCTACAAGAACCAAACTAAACACACTTCTTCAGAAGTATTTTCAAATTTAAAGACCGGCGCTGAATCAGGATGGGACTTTTCATCTAGGTGGCTTACAAAGGTAACAGACTTAAGAACAATTAACGTGTTAAACCAAGTACAAGTAGATTTGAATGCAATCATGTACAGAAATGGAAAAAATTATTGCTAAACTGCTTAGGAAGAAAAAAGGTAAAGAAAGTTTGGCAGAAGAATTTGAAAACAAGGCAAAAAAAAAAAGATACGAGGCTATCAATACAATTTTATGGAACGAGAAAGAGAAAACTTGGATGGACTATGATTTTGCACAGAATTCTTTTGTGGAACATAGGTTCTATTTTAGTAACGTATTTCCGCTTATTTTTGGAATCAATCCACCTGATGATATTTCTCCTTATGAAGTGTTAAAAAAATACCACGTAGAATTGTTTAGCTATCCTGGTGGAATACCAGCAAGTGGCAGAGGTAAAGAGACTTTCCAGCAATGGGATTTCCTAACGCATGGGGCACCCTCACCAACATTTATTTGTTGATTATTTGCTTAGTATTGGTGAAAGAAATTTAGCTTTACACGTAGCAAAATCATTTATGAGGTCTGTGATCGAAGGATACAAAAATGATAAAGAATTTTATGAAAAATACAACGTAGAAACACCAGGTTTTACAGGTGCTGGTGGTGAATATGCTCCACAAACAGGGTTTGGTTGGACTAATGGTACTGTGCTATCATTTATCTATGAGTTTGGTGATAAATTGTTAAGTGGAGACAGTCATCTCTAGAGTCTTATGGAAGGGTACTTAAAAGGCTTATGGAAAAGATTAAGAAGAAAAATAAGTTGTGGCTATTTATCAACTTAACAATTGATATGAGAAAAGCCTATCCCAATGGATGAGATGCCAGTTATTAGGAAATAAAAATATTTTTTAAATTCATATACTTTTTTAAATATTTTATATTATTTCTATTCTTCATAATTTCTATTCTATCATTATTTCTTTTTTTATTTTTATTATTATTATTTTTTTTATTTTAATAATTTATTAATTTGATAATTTAATAATTTTAATAATTTTATTTTAAAAAAATTTTGATATTTAATATTAATATTTTAATTTTAATATTTAATAATTTAATATTAGAGATTTAAATATTTTTATTTAAAAAATTTAATTTTTTTTTTTTTCAGTATTTAATAATTAATAATGTAATAATTTATTAATTTAATAATTTTTTTATTTTAATATATTTTTTAATAATCCAATGAGTACTCTGATCCAATAAAATTACTTTACGAAGCTTTAAACTTAAAAATCATCATTGATTTAGAAAATGGGGACTCATTAATAGGTAATTTAGTAGACCTAGATGATCACATGAACGTATTTTTAGAAGATGCTGTTATAATTAATGATAAAGGAACCAAGATAGTAAAATCTGTCTTTGTAAAAGGATCACAAAATTTTTTTTATTTTGCCTCCTGCACTAAAATTTGTGCCTTTTTTACAGAAAAAGAAATAAATTAGTTTTATAAATGTCTATTTTTTAATTAATAACCTCGGTGGCGCAATTGGCTAGCGCGTTTGACTCTAACCGTGCTGTTGCGGGTTCGATCCCGTCTGGGGTGTATTTTTTATAAAATAGTAAATTATTTTTTATTTCAATATAATTTTAATAATTTTTTATTTACAAAAAAAAATCTTAAAATAATTTATTTTTTAATTCTCTATTCCATTTTTCTGAATCTTTTTTTTTATTTTCTCCATTGGTTTATTTTTTCCTTCTTCTTCTATTTTAAAATCTTTAAGAATATTTTCTACTGAATAAATTTTGCTACTTTTATTGGTTGTATTTTCAATCTTTCTAAAATTATCAGTTTTACTTTAAGCCAAGAAGATTTTTCTCTTTACTGGTGATTTAGGTTTATTTATGCTAATATTTCTATAATTAACATTATCATCTAATTTAACAGTATCTTTGTTCTTAACAATTGAAAAGATAGAAGCTTTCACAGTTTTCCAATCTTTCTTCTTTGGTTCTTCTTGTTTTATTTCTGGTTTAATCATTTTGTTTGTTAAACCATTTACCAATTTATTTACGATTGTGTTCATAGAAGAGAAAATGCTTTCTTTTCTTCGTTTTCTTCTTTAATTTGACTTAAAACTTCTTCAAAATTCTTTGTTTCTTTCCTCAAACAAAATATCATCAAAATCATCTTTGATTTCCTTAATGTTGAGCCTAAAATTAAATTATATTTTTAGTAAATAAATCTGTTTTACAATCTTTTCATTTTTGCTGCTAATTTTCTTGATTTTTCTTTTTTCTAATTTTTCAATTTTTTTCATTTCTTCTTTTTCAACAACTTGTACTTTTTTACAGTCCTAAAATCTCTGATATAAACAGTTTCTTTGCAAAAGAAACACTTTTAACTTCCAAAGTATTTTTATCAAAGTCAAACAATCTTAAAAAGTTTTCATCGCCATTGTTTTTTTAAAACATTATCCCATTCTTTGTTATAAAATCGAGAATATCAAAAGAGGAAATCGATTTTACCATCCCAATTGTTAAAAAATGATTCTAAATCCTCTAAACTTAAAATGTTTAACGTAGATTGAAAAGTTTCTTTGATATTTTTGTTTTCTTCTTCCTTTTTCAAATGTGAGATTGTCAATGCTTTTTTTATAAAATCTTTCAAAAAAAAAGTTTTCTTTTTCTCTCTAGCTTAACAAAACTATTTTCTGGATTGTGTTTAGAAAAGAATAAATAAGTTTCCTTTTAAAAAAATGCAGCTTAAAAGAGAATAATAAGTTATTCCACTCTGTTTATCAGGTAAAGTTTTACATTTTATTAACAGTTCACTTACAATTTGTAATGATTGGTAAGATTCTAACAACCAATTATTCTTAAAAAAATCTTTTCCGCCAAAATTAAAATTACTTTTATGACCAATAAAAAGTGTTCTTCTTTTGTTAATGTTTGCTTAACAAACAAAAAAAATTTGTAAAAAGTCAAATAATCCTCCATCAAAAAATCAAAATTACTGAAAATTGCATTAATTAACAAATAAAATTCGTCAAACAAACCTGATACACAAAAATGTTTAAGTAAAATGACAATACATTCCAAATCACATTGTTTGTTACAGATAATTGCATTGATTGTATCTTTATAGTCGTATCTTCCGATTGTGTCTACAGTGCTTTGTAATTCTTTTTTATCTTTTGATACTATCAGTTTGTACAAATCATCAGTTTGTTCAGCCATATAAAGGGTATTATTTATTAAAATATTTTTTTAAATATTTAATAAAAATAAAGTAAAATTGTTTTAGATTATTTTTTAATATTTAAAAAATATATTAATTTTTTTATATTTAAATATTATTTTACTTGAATAGTTAAAATAAAAGAATGAGATTTAAAAAATACTTTTTACTGAATAGTGTAAATGTTGTATTTTTAATTGACTAAAAATTAAAAATAATATGATTTTTAATAATTTTTTTACCAAAAATATCGTTGCATAAATAATATCAGATTTATAATTCATGTATATTTTAGACATTTTAAATCTGAAGCTTTATCTATTTATTGAGTTTATGTTTTTCAGCTTAAATATATTTAAAACAATCTTACTGCTCTATTTTTTTAACTAAATAATTTAATTCTTTTTGTTGCCTAAGGATGAATAATCCATACGAAGATCTTTTGTTATACCTTCTGTATAAAATATATGTATTTATTTACAAATTACAAAAGTAAAATGTGTTTTTACATAATGGGTATAATTTACTAAAATAGTATTTTTTAACTAAATTTTATTTAATCTTCTACACATTTTATTTTATAAAAATGTAAAATTAGATATTTTTAAAAAATAATAAAAATTTAAAAAGAAATATTTAATTAAAAAATTAATTTTAGAATATTAACATGGAAAAATTATCTTATAAATTACTTACCATAGCTGAAGACGTAGGTACTTCTTTCTTAATAGGAACACTCTCCTCACTCCCAAAATCAATATATGATACTAGAAAAAGTAAGTAAAAATTAATTAGGACCATTGAAAGTAGCATTCACAAGATCAATGAAAAATGGGATATCATATACTAAATTTACTTTATTATACCACGGATTTAGATCTCTACTCAATACAAACAATATTACAAGTTCATTTCTTACTAGTGCTTGTCTTAAAAGTAATTATGGATTTTCTTACGTAGTTAAAAGAGGTGTTTTAGGAACAGTTTATTCTTTTAGTTTAAGTAAAATGAACAATTTTATAAATAAAATAATTTAAACAAATTTTTTATATCATTCGATATCATATTATTATTCTAGGATCCTTCATTAATTTTTTTCTGAAATGTGCCCATGTTATTAAATTTCTTGCTTGTTACTTCGACCATATCAGATGAAATGGCTCATTTAAATTTATCAAAAAGAACATGTAGAAGAGAAGGGTTTAAATGGTACGATTTTAGAACGGTTTGGAAATCCAAGAGGTTACAGCAGTATTCATGATGATGAATTAAGTGATTCAACACAATACGGCACGTTTAATACTAATAGCGAAAAATTGTCAGATGAAAAAGGTTGTTTACATTCTCAAAAATAGTAAATCAGCTGCTCAAAGTATTTTAACCAAATTAGAAATTATGATTCAAAAAACAAATAAAGAGGCAGAAGACAAATTAAAGAATTTAGATCAACAAACAGCTGCTGAAAACGATGTGCAAAACTCCCTAAAGACGTGGCCGACAGTGTTTATGTGAAGAAATTGAAAGAAAAGGAAAAATTGTTATTGATCTATTAAATCTTGACAAATGTTTTGAGCCATTAGCCAAAGATCCAAGGTTTTTAAAGCTGACAGAGGAGATAAAAAGAAGCCCACAAAGTTATATAATTTTGCCTTAAATTTTCAGAGTGAGAATATTGAAGAAAGAACCCCAGTTGTCTATGGAATTGTGATTTGGACACAAGATAATTAGAATTTAGTAGTTTCTTTATTTAAAAAGTAAATTTTTTAATAGAGCATTCCAATCAAACAATTGAAGTGAAAAAATAAACGTTAATTATTATTTTCTTCAAAATTTTTTCATGAATCTTGGATAAAGTATTTACTAAAAGATAAATTAATTTTTAACACTCGTTTAGGAAAGATAACAACAGAAATTTAATCACAATAATATGAAAAATAATCTTATAATGATAAAATAAAAATATTACAGGATAGAGATGTAAGTACCCAATCCACAATAACTATTTAAATGATTGACTCGGGAAAGTTTATAGTATTTTTTATTTTTTAAACGGGAAAACATCATAATGTCTTACAATACTATTATTAATTCAATAATCTAATTTTTAATTTTAAGTTTGTTAGTTTTAAAGAATTGTTTTATGAAACTAATTGGGTAATACTTGAACTACAAATGTTTATTTATAGTTTTTTATAAACAATCTTTTGAAAATGAGTCATAAAGAGCGCGTTTCTAGACTCCTTTCTTTAAAAGAGATTTCACTTGTAGGAAATGATTAATCATACATAATAAGAAGAAATAAAGTTAAGAACTTTATATATGAGTTAAGATTATAAGTAATGATTTTAATAAATTATGTTTTTTTCCAGTACTTTCGCATTAACATTGAAGAAATCAGAATTTATAAATTGATCTAATAAATCTAGCAAAATGTAAACTTCAACCTCAAAAAGATTGAATTATCTAAAAGCATTAATATCTAGTTTACAAGAGAATAAAAAAAGTATCACAAAATAGTTCTTTTTAAAAGAATTTGTTTAAATTATAAACAAATTAAAGTTATATTTAAGAAAACGACACTAAAAAAAGTGACGAAAGAATAGTTTCAAACTCTTTTTATACAAAAGTAACATCAAAATTAAATACAACCAAAACTAATTATATTTAAAGAAAAAACAATATCCATAAATGGAGTCTAAGCATAAAATTCTACATAAATGAACATTTTTTATGGAACAAAAACAGTTAAAAAAATAAACATCCCAGATTACATGCCATTTCACAAAGAAATTGATAGAAATCTAATACAAAAGGATGAAATATGCTTATAACACTTAAAAAAGCCTTTTGGTTTGTAAATATGTCTAAATTCATTTAAACAAATATTTAAAGTAAAAAATGTTTGAACTTGCGCTGAAATTGACTTGATTGCATTTAAGAAATAAATTCTTTTATTTTGATTTTTAAGTTTTTATGTTTTTTTGCTAATTTAAGAGACTGTTTCATTAATATTATTTTTAATTTAGTCTTGTAAAAGTTTTTCAGGGCTAACTTCAAAAGAATTTTCTTTTAATTTTTATAAAAAGGCATATAAGTTGACGAAAAGAAGAATTTATGGCAGAATATATTTCAAGAATTTGTTTAAATAAAAAACCTAAGAATATTACAATCTATTATTTTGATCATTACTGGTTCGGGTTGTATTTCTTGGGGTTCTACAATAAAATTAGAATAAGTTGAGTATTTTTTATATTTTTAACATAACAATTCAAAATTAAAATTTTAATTAAAAATCAAAAAATTGTATTCTAAATCAATACTTATTACATAATGAGTAATGGAAAAAGATATCGTGTATTAAA